GAAGCAAACGTGCAAGGCACGGGATATGAGGTCAAGACAATATTAAATCAAAGTTTAGGCGTACGAATATTAGACTGTTTATTTCAACTTACATATAAAAAAATGCGGTCTATATTTAAGCCTGTATGACATTCTGCATGGGTAGTCTGATTTTCGCCAGAAGCCGACCCAATATGAATAGATTTATACTGCTAATACTGCTGTAAAAAAAACTAGTCGTTTTTACTGCTAATACTGCACATAGGCACAGAGGTACCGTTGGAGCAGTTTCATATGTTCTTCGTCGACAACAAGTTTTGTTCGAAGAGTGGATAATCCTCGAGGATCAGGTTAGATATGCAAAAAATTATATAAAAGCTGGGAGTGATAAAAAAGTTTGGGAAAAAAATCGGAGTTTTAATAATTGAGGTCAAAAAGTTGGAAATTAACTTCAAATAGAGGGAGCCAAAACTAAAGTAGCTGAAACAGTTTATTTAAAGCTCTCGAAATATAATGGGACTCTTTTAGTGTAGATTAAAGGTTAATTCTTGAAAATCGACAAAAATGAAGAAAAAAAAACAGAACGTTTGGGTGGAGAGCAATGCTAAGGCTTGTTCTGAATATTGCAACTCTATACATGCAGTCCTGTGTTGGGGCCTCCAAACCCTTATGACATACTGCTGCAACAGGAGTTGGCGCCTGCTGAAAATTCGTAGAAGCACATCAGGAGTCTTTATCTGTTCCGATGCCCAGATTAGGGAGGCCGATATCAATATTTCCAGAGGCTGATTGAAATGAGAAATTTTCTTGGGGATCTAGATGCCCAAAAAACAATGATATATAAATTGTGGACGCGGGCCGAGATTTTTTGAGAATTCAATTGCATACTTAACTTTGTAATCTAATCAAATGATGATTCAGTCAATCGTGTGCCATGTTTTTTTTGCTCGGCAACTGGTCATAAAGCGTTAGCATACAAACTGTATACATAATTTCATACTTTATGTAATCATCAGAAACACTGACTCGTTAATGGAGCTCTTCTTCATCTAGAAGGGGGATACTGCAGGGGAAAAGAAGCTTCCTCCCTTTATAAAAATGACAAGGTTGAAACTTCAACTAGATTGACCATGTTTTTTTTCAGTTTATGATTTCTGTTAAAAAACATGAACCATAACCGTAACTGACATTCAGATGGGAAGAAACAAAGCTGAGAAAAACCGTAATTTGATTACGATGCTTTTTATCAGAACGAAATGATTAGAGTTAAAAGAAATTTATGTGCTTTGTAAAATGTGCTTTTATGGAACTACTTTTGAGCTATTTTTTCACTCTTTTGGAATACTGCTTTGCGATTTGAATCAAAATTGATAAAATCGATGTTGATTTTTAACCGAAATTTTTTATTTTGACTCCAAGTTACCGCGGGACAATTGGTATTTTTCGACTGAGCTCAAGCTATGATTTGACCTAGCTCGAGGTATGTTGCTTCAACCACGCTCGACCATTCTCAATGTATGTTTCGACCGCGCTCGACCGTTCTCGAGGTATGTTTCGACCGCGCTCGACCGTTCTCGAGGTATGTTTCGACCGCGCTCGACCGTTCTCGAGGTATGTTTCGATCGCGCTCGACCGTTCTCGAGGTATGTTTCGACCGCGCTCGACCATTCTCAATGTATGTTTCGACCGCGCTCGACCGTTCTCGAGGTATGTTTCGACCGCGCTCGACCGTTCTCGAGGTATGTTTCGACCGCGCTCGACCGTTCTCGAGGCATTTTTCGACCGCGCTCGACCATTGTCGAGGCATGTTTCGACCGCGCTCGACCGTTCTCGAGGTATGTTTCGACCGCACTCGACCGTTCTCGAGGCATGTTTCGACCGCGCTCGACCGTTCTCGAGGCATGTTTCGAAATTGTGCTCGACCGAAATCCCTTTCTCGACTTATTTTTTTTCGTTTTTGAAAGTCAAAACTTTAAGTGAGAACATCGACACGAAAAATAATAAATCACGTAATAAAAGTTTTTGATTAGTCAATTAGTCAAAGTTTGAAATTATATATCCAAGAAGGGGTTTTTGGTCGTTGGAATTATCAGTTAACCATCTCTCGTCAATCCAAAAAAAAATTAGGCATCCCCAATTTTGGTTTTTGCTTGTTGGTGTGGTTGTACCAACAAATATGCTACATTGCTCATCTAAATTATCTGTACAAACGAATAATTTTTGAAAATTAACATGTTTTTTTTTCAAATTGGGTTGATTGTAGCCTAAATTTTTTTTGGAAGAACTTGCTTAGATTTTCAGCAGAAATAGTATGGTACCACTTATTTTGCAAAAATCGGGCCCAAATATCACTTTTGGCAATTTTTAGTCAATCCAAAATTACGCCGATATGATTAGTTCAATTGCTGGCAAAAATGTCTCAGTGAGCCTCTAATGTAGACCAACAAAGTTTAAGGAGGGTATAATCTGCAAAAAATTGCGATTTAAATTCTTTCTAAATTAGAAACTTGTAGTTTATACGGAAAAAAAGACTATAATATTTTTTTTATACCAAAAGTGAGAAGATTATACCATCCTTTAACTTTGTTGGGTTAAATGAGGGGCTCACCGTGTGATATTTTGCCAGCACTTGAACTAGTAGCTCGGGCGTTATTTCTGATTAATTAAAAGTTTACAAAATTGATCGTTTTTGGGGCAAACCTTTGGGCCCCAAATCTTTTTTTGGCTAAAGTCATCTATTTGACTATTTGAGAAAAGTGTTTTTCGATTCTCATGATTTATTCGTTGGTCCGGATAACTTGAATCTGCACTGTTATCTGTTCAATCAGATAGTACAGACTGTACGTCTTCAAATCAATCGCTCGCTGACTGGAGAAGTTCGCGCCGGAGGTTGATGATTTTGCACAAAAGAGGGTCTTTGTCCAGCAACCTTCCATAATTTTATCCACGTTCGAGTTTGGGCTCGGTGATAGACCCCGTTGAGTGTATACCCGGTCGAGGTTTGCGATTTGTGTTTCGACCGAGGCGGATCGAACATATATCAGAGTTCGAACAAAAATCCATATAGCTTCGGCTCAGTGTTCCTTTTCACCTCTCACAAATACAGTCAGATGTGTACCATGCAACAAGGCTGGGGATATAGTGACACAACGATTGTATCATGACATTGAAGTTCCTGGTTTCACGGTCAGTGCGTGAGACTGTCGCAGAAGATGTAAATACCAATGGCAGGATTGGTCAGAGATTCTGGCTGAACGCTGGCTGAATTGAGCGCGGATGTTTGATAATCAAGCCGTCAAAGGTAAACTTGAAACAAAACTGCTCTTATCAAGGCGAAGCCATGAATGTTCCGATTGCCTTTTAAGGTTTATGGAGTAGTGTGTGTCTCAACTGAAATGATGAGTTTTTAAAAAGAAGAATTATTTTTATGTAGATTGTTTTGTGAAAAACCATCCCTCAACACGCTTTGTAAAAAGAATCTGATAACTTTTGCTTGTGGTAAAAAAATAGATTAATTAGCATACCTCAATTCAATTTGGAACGACTTCTAGACGGACTAAACTTTCGCTTACTCGTTGAAAGCACTTAATATATCGCCCGCTAATTACGCCAAACTTGCCAAATTGGCAGTATTTAAAACACCATTACTTTCAAAATATGATCAGAGGTGAGCTATTTTTTTTGAGACCAGGACAACAATACCTTTTGACTGATATGAAAAAACTCCATCAAAAACTGCCAGCTCAAAAGTGGAAATAGGTCTGGAGAAATAAAACCACCCGAGCAGAAGTACTGTGCAACTTTCTTCAAAATTCGGAGTAATAATCAATCAAAAACAAGAAAACTTACTTAAAACCACGCAAAGCATGTACAAATTTTTGACGATATATTAAGCAACTAGGACTCTAAAATCAACTGCAACTACACCTAACTAAAAAAAATTATGCATTGAAACGGCCCAACATCAGTGTTTTTACTTCCTAGACTAAAATTATTGTTGCTGAATCTGATTGGCTAAAAAGCCAATCAAAGTCAATCCAGAATGGTTCGTAATTTTCATTTATTCAAACTTTCAAGCAGATAAAATAACAAGACTGCTCGTAATACGGCAACGCCTTGAATGGATTAAAAACAATGGATTTTAATCAGGGGCGGATCTAGGATTGTCTCGGGGAGGGAATTTCTAAAAAAAATTCCGAAAATTTTGTTTGATCTTTTTTTTAGGTCGACCAAATTGATATTCCGAGCATCCCAGAACACTATAAAGACACTTTTGTTACGAAAAAAGTTTTTCCAAAGGAAATTTTTTTGAAAAAAAAATTAAAATCTGTTTCATTACGAGACCAAACTGTGCACTGGATAGGCGCACAATTTTGTGTCTGTATGTCCTTGGATTCCAGAAATTAATCTTTTAACATGTTCCAAAACGTAAATGGATTCCACTTACTTACAAAGTTTCCGTGGATTCCGCGTTCAAATAACTGTAACGTAAAATTTGTCGGCACATTTGTTGCTTCGCGGATTCCGCAACAAGCGAATATAGCTAGTTGTTCTGGATTCCGCAACTGTAAGTGGAATCCGCAAATGTAAGTAGAATCCGCAAATGTAAGTGAGGTCCGCAAATTCGCCTATTTTTGGAGCAATTTTGAGCGCTACAGTTTTTTAGGTATTTGTTTGTGGAATCCAAAACAGCAAAAAAGATCAAAGAAAAGTAGCAATGTTGCGGATTCCGCGACAAATCTGATTTTGGCCTGTTACGGAATCCGCTTACAATGCACATAATGCACATTTTGGGCTCGTAATGTTTTGAGCACTTTTTTGAAAAGTTTGACCAAAAAATTGGGTTTTTTCGGCGCAAGCTCCTCTTCAAAGTTAGTTAATTTTGGCGTTTGGTCGGCTCTAAAACGGTTGTCATAAGATAATACCAATGGGAGGACTCTTTGGTTTTCAAGAGGGAGGCATCCTCCCCCTTCCCCGTCCCCATCCCCCCTCTAAATCCGCCCCGATGATAATTAATTTTAAATTTCATAAAACAATGGATTTTAATCGAATTGGTACATCACTTCGTTGTCTGTGGGCGACATTTTAATTGGTTATTTTGACAACATTTTATACCACAAAAGTTCATTGTATTTGATTTTTTTTCAAGATTGGGAAAGCTTCCGCATGAAACATCAATTTGAAATTTAGTTGAATATCATTATCAAAAACATAACGAGCAAACACTGGATGTTCGGCAAGTTTCCAGTTGTATTGTTCAAGGTTCAGGTGGCAAACTTGATCTCTTCCAGACTGGTAGAAGATATTCCACCGAGTAACCAGCGGGGAATCTGAAAAACGCAGTTGTTTGTGGTTTTTAGTACAAAATAAATAAAAACAGCTAAACGGTCTATTAAGCATTATACAACGATAGGTTCTTGTATAGGCATTTAAAGCATTATAAAATGAAAATTCAGCTATTTTTGAGACAAAAAATTGATATTACCTCAAATCATTTACTTTTAACTGTTCGATGTTTCTTGTTTTGGTTTTCCCGACAGGGAGCAAACCCAATAATGTATTTGAAAAAAAAACGAAAACATCAACTATTAATGCACCTTGGGAAGTCCCTGGCCCAGGTGAGATCCATCACAGTCGGCTGGCAGGGTCCGAAGTCCACCTGTTCCACCTCCTCTGGCTCGGACACTGGGCTGGGAGGGAGAGGTTCTGGGGTGGGGACTCTGGAGAGGGTGTGCGTGGAGGAAGGGGTGGACTGGCCTGATGCCATGAAGTCAGTGGAGAATAGGGCATTCCTCCTCTCCAGTTTGCGGGACACGCCTCTAGTGTCTGTGTAGTCCACTGAAACCAATATTTGGAATCCCAATGGAATAAAAAGGAGAAATTTTTGTTCTGTGTTCAGGCAAGTAGATAAATGGGTTCTTTATTTGCAATTGGAAACTGGGTTTCTGATCTTTAATAGTTTAGAGGATCTCTATTAGCTTTTGAAACTAACTGGGTTCTCGAAACAGAGGAGATAGTTTTGTTCTGATAAGGTTACAAGTTACAACTTGCAGGTAAGCCGGCCATTTTCAGACAAATCTGCAAGGCAAAAATATAATAAAATCAAGCACAACGTTTAAAAATGATCTCGCTATAACTTACTTTCTCTCAATTCTTTTTTAGAAAAAAAACATACGTGGGTTGAATGGTTCCACGTAATAGATGCCCTGATCGTCCAATTTGGTCACGCCTTTTCCAGCATCGATCCTCTGTTTTCTCATCCTCTTTCTCCTGTACTTTTCAGGTAGGTAATTTGTCACCTTCTGATCGAAACACTCGATATCTTTTGACCTGTTCACCTTCAGTTTCAACTGTTGACTTATCTCGCCTGAAGCTAGTTTTTCTTTGATCTCAGAGCGACGGAACTGTGGAAACATCCTTTGGACTAGCGGAATAGCGTACAAGGTCATCGCCGTTTCGTCGATATCAGGATGTTTGTTATGGTACGCTATGAAGTTATTGAACTGTTTTACGTTTTTAATGCACTCCCCGCATAAGTTGGGGCCTAAGACGTCGCAACATTGGCGTGATAAGTCGTTCACAACAGCTGCCAAGTCCTCGTTCAGAATACTTTCCATTCTTTTGCATGGTTTCACACTTTCAAAAGCACCTTTACCTCGTCGCCCTCCACCGGATGTTAGTGCGTGATGATACATACCGGTAGTACTCGTTTTATACGAATGCGCCGTTCGCTCCGATCTATTTGTGGCAGTGGGATCAATTTCCGAGTTGTCCTCGACATTACTAAAAATAGACGCGACAGACGAAGGCCGAGCTCCGGGTGTTGTCGAACCGTTTTGATTCGTGTAGCTTCCCGTCATCACTCGGTTGCGCACGACTTGCATTGCCGAGTTTGGTCGTCCCTGATTGGTTGGCGAGGATGATCGTCGACTGCTATCTCGAATTGTTGCACTCTGTCGCCTGTTAAATGTTTTATTCATGTTTTGGTTTTCCAAAGCTAAAGTTGTCAAACTTGCTAAACAGCTTTTTGACATACTGTCGATCAACTCGAATCGACTTTTTGTTCTAGAATGTTCCAATTCAAAATCAATAGACTCAAACATATCACCAAAATGGAGTTCGTCGTTTTCTGAATCTGATTCGTAACCTGTCGTCGTTTCGTCATCTCGGTAATTTCCGACGATTGTGTCCGGGCGGCTAGCAGTCCCAAAGTTAGACCTAGTATCTTCAAACCTCACCGATGTAGCCGATTTTCTCAAAGTGTTCGCTAGTTTAGCTGAATGTGGCTTATTAGCCGAAGAAATTCTTTGTTGTGTTGTTTTTGGACGCCTGAGATCGACCGAGAATGGCCGTTTTGTTTGGCTGTTTGGAGGCTTTGTCTGGAATACTTTGACCCGACTGGGTTTCAGGCGACCTCTGTTGAAATTTTCAAGGGATGTTTCATAAGCAAACATAATGACACAAAATAATTCGAAATTATGCAGCAAAAAAAATCATTGAAAAATCGTCGAATATATTTTTAAGCGTTCAATTAATCGCTTGAATAACGTTTACATGAAACGTCTTTTTATTTTATGACAGTTTCTGAGAGTGCGTTTTACACGCATCATCATTTTCAATAGTTTAATGCAGTGTATTAAAGTAAATTGAAAACTCATTGATAGACTTTAGCCGAATCAAAAAAGCAATGTAGGTGGTGTCATAAAATCAATAGCAGCAAGTTTAAAATTAGCAGTTATGGAAAACATCTTTTTAAAATTCCGCGCCTTTTTATCTCTCACCCCTCATCTCTTTACATCGCATGTTTTCACCCCGCTCCTAATACCTTTTAGCAGTATTTTTCACCCCAATTAGTTATACCTCAAAATACGGTAAGAGATAGGTTTTAAGATGTTGAAAGATAATATAAGAAGACAAGAAAGCGTGATCAAAATGATGTTCTTCAGCTCCATACCTCATGAAATCGGCGTGGAAGCATGTAAGCATGTGGTCCCGTATCAAAACAAAATTTATAGATAATTTTATTGGGATTTTTTCGTTTTTTTTTAGTTAGTAAGAGGGGAGACTGAATTGGTTGACCGGACAGTTAAAAAAGCAGAGCCAGTAAAAAAAGGTAAAAATATTCCTGAGTGACTGTACTCATAGAGTAATTTCAGATAAAGTACACCTACTGCTCGTCACGCTATCTTATTTTCGGCCGGATAGATTCGTGCAACTTCTTAGTCTAATACCGATCTTAATCTTACTCTTATATCTCCTAGTCTCAATAGATCTAGTGTATACTGGTTTATGCGAGTTAGTTGCCAGAAGGAGAACAACTGTATTCTAAGTAATATTCAATTTGTTCTGGTGCTGAAACTACAAGTAGTTTCAGCACTTACAAATAAGTCCAAATGTTAGAGATGGAATATGATTGGTAAGTTATAATAATTTTATAGTGATATTCCATCATAAAAACAATTGGTCTATAAATCCTAGTTTAAAACTGGTTCCACCCATCTGGGGCTTAGAGAATTTTTAGTTTATAATTGTTTGATGTAGTGAAGGACGGGTGATGTAGTTTCTTTTTAACTTGGGAGCATTGATTTCTTCGAGAAAGGAGAAGTGTGGCTGTTTGTCTTTGACCGAAGAAGATTGTTATGTTCGTGTTTCTTGATGGGTCTCGTTGATCGTGGTAGTCTTGGGTGATTGTGTCAAGACTATTGATCGATGTAATGATGTATCGATTTCGTTAAGTTTAGAGCGAGACTACGTGCAGGGTGAAGTTTGACTTTTCCGTGTGAAATGGCAAAGACTAGAATTGTTACGTGTAGCCAACATCGAGATGGCCATTGGTTTGGTTCAATGGTTTTCCTTTGCTGCGATGTTGAGTCCATACTTTAAATCTTTTGAGGGTAGTGACTTCAGGCAGCAAATCGAATATATTTGCCATTCTGAAGTTGGAATGTGATTAACTTGTCGTCTCCTTTGCTGCTCGCTCCTTGGGCTCTAAGAAATCTATACATACTGCATTTAGGGTTTACATAAAAATTACCTTTTTTTGTTAATTGAATTTTACTTATGATTTGTTATTAATTGTTATCGCAAAAGCGTTTTACTTTAGTTCGGTTATTTTTTAAGAGTTGCTCACACTAGAGCAAATCTTGCCAAACAAAATGTGTATCATCACAAAGCGTGGTGTAGCATGCTCAGGACGTCCCTCTGGTTGATGAGGACAGGAGTGGGGTATTTTTTTATGGTCTCTTTGTGCAGAGTCTCTTTTTGTGTTCAAACTTTTGTTTCATTTTTATTGCTTGTTTTTCTCTTTTGTGTTTTTTAGTTTTGGTCTTTTTTTCAAAAAAAGAATCTTTTGGCTTGGGTTGCTTTTTCGGTCTTTTTGTGCTTTACTTGATTGTGGTAAGACTTGGAAGTGGTCTTCAAAAGAAAAATTTATCCAGTTTTAATCTGGTTTTAATCTGGTTTGAGTACCGTGGGTTTTTCTTTCTTAGTCATGCTATTAGTTTGTGGTTTTGTGACGTTAGTAAGCTGCGTTGGTTGTTTCAGTTTACTGTATGATTTCTTCTAACCGGGTTAAATTAAAATTCAAAACGTGTGAAAACTAGTTAGAAATGTTATCAGTGAAAGTTAAAACTTAAAGTTCATTATTTAAACAATTCTTCGTGGGCGAGCTGTACGATTTTGGACAGAGTGTGTAATTTATGGGCGAGTGATTGATTCAAATTTATAAAAAAAAAAACGTCATGTACGCTTTCATTTCTACTGCAGTTTGTTAAATGGAGTTTTAAATTTCCTGAAAAGAATTTTCAATTTTGTTATTCATTTTTCCCGTATCAAAACAAAATTCTTTAAATAACTTTAAAGTTTAGAGTTTTGTATTTAATTTCTAGTTACTAAGAGGGGAGACTGAATTGGTTGACCGGACAGTTAAAAAACAGAGCCAGATAAAGAAGAAAAAAATTCTTGAGTTATGTACTAGTGACTGTACTCATAGAGTAATTTCAGATAAGGTACACCGTCTGCTCGTCACGCTATCCTATTTTCGGCCGGATAGATTCGTACAACTTCTTAGCCTAATACCACTCTTAATCTTACTCTTATATCTCCTAGTTTCAATATATCTAAGGTATACTGGATTATGCGAGTTAGTTGCCAGAAGGAGAACAACTATATTTTAAGTTTTATTCAATTTGTTCTGGTGCTGAAACTACGAGTAATTTCAGCACTTGAAAATAATTGTAAATGTTAGAGATAGAATATGATTGGTTAGTTATTGCGTTATTGTATTTATACTTACTCATCCTCGGCAAAAAATCCATTTGGGAAAATATTGTGAATAGTGTCCGATGATGTTAGAAGTTTAGCAAGTAAGCGGTTGATATATTTAGTTTGCAATAGAGGCCATAGGAGTTTAAGTGCTTTGATGATCTTTTGCTCTTCACTACTTGGTGAGATTTCGTGCGGAGTGTTTTAGATTAGATTAAAATTTTTATGGTTATAGTTAGTGTTGTGAATTTATTCCAGGATTGGGACTTCAACGGGCTATATATTTTCGTGAGGGACAATTAGTGCACAGGATTCATCAGTGTTGAAAGTTTTCGTTAGTGGGCAAAATATATACATTTGTCGCATAGCGTCGTAATTTCTGATGTTATGTCTTTGCATGTTAGTGTCTTTTATACAGTATGTGAAATTAAAGAAGAAGGGTGAAGTATATTTAGAGTTAATGAATTGAAATCGATGTTGCAGTTTTCTTGATGGTGTATTAGTTGTGTAATGGTGTTGGAAAAATTTATAATAATGGTATGTTTGAGTTTGGTTTGTGCGTAGCATTAATTGATGTGAATAGTGTAAGTCGCATTCGTTTGGTGTTAGAAAATTGAAAGTTAGTGAAAAATGGTTAAATGGTCGTAGGTTTTTGTGTCGCAAAGTGCTGTAGATATAACATGATCAATTTTTTTTATTCATGGAGTTGATGTCAAATACATATTGAGATCTTATGAAAAATATTTCAGTTAGTTGGGGGTTAGCGTTAGTATCCTCTTCTAAAAGGGTATATTCCATATATCGTGCAATGGCGTGATCATAATGGTTAACGGAAAATCGGTTTGCTTTTTGAGCAGTGAATCTATTTAGTGTTTGGGGTAGTCCAATGGTTGTGAATTGCTTTTCATGAAGTGCGGCGGTTAAGTGATATAATCGAGTGTGACACAATTCATTGTCGTCTGGTTTAATATATAATGTGAGTGATAATGGGTTACTGAAATGATAATATGAGGTCGATGAAAGTGTGGGAAACAAGTCATGTTCATAAACGTAAGTTCGTTGATCGTTGTTAGTATTTGTTTGATAGTAGGTTTACTGAGGAATAAATGGTAAGCACATTTGAAGGAATTCTTTTCTGTTAGTTTGAAGTGGGTGAACTGAAAACGTTCGAGGTGGTTGAGGGCTAGGAGGCATTTGGGCATTGGGATGTTTACGTTTAAATACTCGGTGGGCTCGGGTTTCTTCAGTAGTGGATGCGGGGTTGGAGGATTCGGAGGATGTCATGGTTTGTGATAGATGATGAATTGTTAGTATGTTGGGGTTTTGAAGTTTGTGTTTTAGGGTTATAAAATTATCAAATTTATTCTCGAGTTCTTCATCAGTGTGGCTAGCGGGGTCAGGTGGGTCACTGGTCATTGAGGAGAAAATTGAGGTTGCATCAGTGTAGGAAGAAGGGGCTGGGGAAGGTTTATCGAGAATTTGGGGTATGGAGTGGTTGAAAGAGGGGTTGGGAAAAAGAGGATGAGCTAGACTCGGAGTCTGCGAATTCATCTTGGGTTTCAGTACCAGAGCTCCAAAATAGGTTCTTCTAGTATCAAAATAGGTTCTTCTAGAAAGTGTGTTATCAAAATGTACTCACCTTTTGTAGATTTTGGGGATTATTTTGTAACATCTTTTGTCTTCAAATACGTATAATGTGATAGTTTTTTCGTACTTGTGTAATTACATAATATATTTTCTTCGTCGTTGATAAAATTTGATCTATTTCTTGACAACAAGTATCCTGCATAAGGTATTTTTGGTACTGCAAGTGCAAGTGAATGTAAAGTTTGTAGTCGTTCAAGTTCACCTGAAGTGATGAAGCGTTTCTAGTTCTGATAGTGACATTTCTTGAAAAATTCTACTTAGTGTATAGTCTAATTTCATGTGTAAGTGGATGAAATAGTGAATTGGACCAAATTGTACTGCTTTTGACTTGTGGTCGAAGTTTTCCTCCAGTTCTTCCTGCGTTTTTCAGAAAGGTTAACGGGATGTATGAGTTTTTGTCACGGTTTTAAATGTGATGTGTTGGATTTGGGTTAATTATTAGTTTACCTGTGTTCATGTAGAAAGCTTTTTCGTATTCGACAAGAACTTCTGAATATTGTGTTTTATAAAGCGGAGTGTTATACTTGAAAGCGAGTTCTGTTTCTGGCTAGATTTGAAAACGTGTCAGTTCGTTTTCTATATTTTTTTATATTGTTGAAACGTTAATTGTTTTGTCGGATTTTTTCATGGTTTACTTTATCATAAGGGATGGATTCAATAAAGAATTTATAACGATATTTTATCATTCTTGCGTG